GTTGAAGAGATTATTATTAGCTCCTCTACCAAAAATTCAATACCACGACCTTAATAAAACTTCGTACATAAATTAAAAATAAAACAAACGAAGCTATTTTTGTTAGAATTGCGAAAGAGAAAATGACGAATTTTTCTGTCGTGTATCACGGGTTACGTTCTATTTTTAGAGCACAGGTCAATTTTTAATTATGTTAGTTGTCATTGTTGAAAGCTACTACACTCAGACCCGTAGGTTTGAATCGAATAAAAAAACGTGTTATCTCTTTCTAAAGCTACACGCAACAGACTTTTCGAGCGATCTTACAATTCCTTCTACCCACTCAACTTCCTCCTCAATCTAGTTTTTCTATCAATGGCCATTCTTATTATATTTCTACGAATACTTTCACATTTTATTAAGGCGGATTTGTCCGGTAAAACCTACACGAACTAAGTTCGACATTTGCCCATTAAAACTGTGGGTAACCAATCCGTTTTCATTACCTAATTAAATTACCCAATTATTCTTAATTATACTAAAAAAGTTTTCACTTTGACATATTCCGGCCTACTCGTTTTTAACACAGGCTATATTTAGTCAAAAAAATTCTAATTATTCTCGTAATTGCAAACATTCTTTTCCGAATAATTTAAAATTCAAAGGCAGCGAAATGTCAAAGCGGTTACCCTAAAAGATATATTTTTTTGCTAAAAGTTGATTTTATTTTACATAGGGGAAGGTGAGATAAAACGATTAGGGTAAATTCGCTAAAATTGTTGTAGTTTAACTAACATTAAACATTGAAGTGTTTGAATTTTTTTTAATAAATACTTGGTGCTTTGCTAACGCAGCAGGGGACCGGATGAAGTATACATGAACCGTTATTAAAATCTTAACTGACCTCAACCCATTTTTGAAAAAAGTAAAAATCGTAAGAAAAAATTGACGATAATCAACGTTCAGGTGGGGTAAGAAGTGTTTTTTTTTTTCTCATGGTAAAGTTCAACTTGTGTGTTATAATTTATAACTGGGAGATAAATGTTTGACAGTTGATTCGAGTTGATTATTGCTTGCCTTCCCCTACCACAGCTTACCTGAAATTTCCTAAGAAATGTAAACCACTTATTAAATCCTGTATACTTATTAAAATTATAGCTTAACTCTATACCTGTCGACAACGTTGATATTACGGCAAAATTTTCTTTTTTCTGTTATTTAATTCTACTGACATTTCATACAAATTGTCCTCTATTTTTACGGTTTTAAATTTTAGTCGAATTTTGTTACTAAAACTTACCATATTTTTAATTTATAATAATGATTTGAATTCATAAATTCAAAATTAGGTCAATGTTCTGTGGAAAAATAGAGTTTGCTTAATAATTTTTGAAATGATGTTATACATAGATCGCTAAAAATCCAAAATGTAATATCTTGATGATTTTATACATAATAATAATTTTGTAATTAAATATTAATTATTGTTTTTTTACCTTGTTGAAAAAATAAAAACTTGGCTCTCAAGTAACTTTTGTTCTTGCTGAGCAAAATAATTAAAATCTGGAGGTAACTGGATTTTTTAGGCTGCAATTTTTATAAATACCAAGAACTTTATCCGTCAGGTCATTATCAACAATTTTATGGCTAAGGTTTTGCTATTTATATAAGTGTTTTTAAATCTGATAAATAGCATAATAAAACTATTTATAAAAGTCATAAATTTTCGTTTTAATTCATAAATATGATGATTTTTGTAATAAAATAGACCGCGATATTATCTTACGTCTTATCGGCTAGATTACAGACGTCATTATCTAAAGTAGTCATTATTTTTAATTTTTCCGGGGGAATTAATGGAGGCAACCCACAGGTGGAATAAATAAGTCGATCTTTGCCTAACCTTTTGTTCTATACATTCGTCAACTTCCTGTATTTCAGAACTTCAGACTTTCACCTAAATATAAAATGTAATTTTATTTAATAAATGGAGTACTTGATATAAATCATTGATAAACATCTTTTCAATTTGGCAAAAGTAATTTTCACTCTTGCTCATCTCAGTTTATCGATTAAATTACTTGAAAACAACTATGTACTTGTACAGAAAGAAATTACACGATAGAAAATGTACAAAGAGAATGTCCTAAACGTGACTGCATTTTTCCTGGTTCTGTTTTTCAAGAGAAGCAACTCCATTTTTACTACCTACTGTTTTCCAAATACAATAAAACCAAATTTAACCGCGTTGTAAAACAGAATGTAAGCGTAAATACGGTCTGAAAATTACCATATGTTGCCATATAAATTGTCTATATCTTTCGTCGAACTTTACTTTTTTGAGTGATTTTGATAAAATCTAACAAAAGTACTATTACTAGAGAACCAAATGGCAAAAAAATTGCAATTTAATAAAAAAATTGGTCACACCCCGTATAAAACTACTAGGATTTTAACGGACGAAGTGCTGGCGTAACAATAATAATTTAGGGTAATTTTTAAATGTTGTTAAATGTACGTTGTGTAAATTTTCGAAGAGTTAAACTTTTGTGAGATCTCCATATTAAACTTACTACCACACAAAAGGTTACTTTATTACACAATGTAAGCACGTTTTGTAACTATGGGTCATAATTCAAACAATAAAAATGTAACGGGGTGTCAGAAATTTAAAATCTCAATGTGACAGCGACGCCTTAATGGAGCACCCACACATCATAATCTTGGTGATGGCCTCCTGCAAACAAACATGGTCATTTGTGTCAGTTTATTTATGAAAAAAAATTAACCTAACCACACATAAAATATGCTCTGTTGTTTCAGCAGAAGATGTGTACCCTCTAACTAACCACCTAGGTATCAAATCCATGAATGAATCCATCGTGAAAGAAATTTTTTTCCGACGAATCTCCCAATCTTGTAAGCGCACACTCAAAAGGGCATTACCAAGCGGAGAAAAATCGAAGAACGAAACATAATGTGCGCTTTTCACATAATTTATTCCACCCAGGCAACAATTCCAAAAATGTGAACGCCTGCACGCTTTACGAGAAATCGTATAGTTTGTAGGCTCATTATAAAAATTAGCAAGTTTTCGAAAGAAGACGCGGGCAGACCTGATTTCATTCTTTCTACGCCTTCGGAACCAACGCAGAACAGAAAACGGGTTTGTTTGGACACGTGGGAGCTAATAACTTGCACTGATGGAGATAACAACCCCACATGTTAATGAGGTGAGTGTGGTAACTGTTTACTATATGTCCATGTGCAGCGTGGACAGAACCAGTCGCCAAATTTGCAGTCTGAAGAACCACAAAACGAAACAATCGACACACACTTCGGGATTCGAAAAAAGGACAATAACACGCTGCGAAAATAAATGGGACCTTCCAACCAGTTTGAATTTATTGCTGATGTGGTTTCTATAGATTAAGTTTGCTTCAAAAAAGTGGGATAAACCGAAAGACAACAGCAGATACCCGATGGTGAAACTTTTTATGAAGGTGATTACCTGACCCACGCGCCTACCCACAATACCCATGAATGAATTGCAAACTGGTACGAATTAATAGCACTTCTGTTTATCGAACTTAGAAATAAACAAACCCAAAAAGTGTTCGTCAGAAAAAACAAACAAACTCTGGGTTTTTCTAGACAATTAAAAATCATTCTAGGTAGATACATATACCACCTTAGTTTATTTCGTTGGAAACGATTCTAATGAAAGTTTGTGCTGTACATACACCAGGGATTTTCATAAGAAACACAAGACCCAGAATTTGGTTGGATACTTTGCCTGAAGGAATTAAACTCTAAGCGGTTTATTGGCATCCCCAGATGGCCAGATAAACTTATCAGAAGTCGTGTGGACAAAGTCCACTAATTTAAGTTTAGACAATTATAGATGGACCGTGTCGAAACAAATAAGATTAAAAACATTTAAAAAAGTTATTGAATGGTTATATAATTTTAAATCAATGTCAGAGCCTTATGGAAATAACAAATCTCTGAAATAAACTGTAAAACCTTCCTGAAAGTTGCAGTTATCTGTCTAATAAAATAAACCCACGAAAGACAGACCAACGGAAACAGGAAACCAGCATTTTCCTACTCTACAATCTACGAAACTTCAAGAAAGCAGGAAATCAGACATTCGTCAAAATGACCTTATTTCCTACAATGTTTGTTTACGCTCGGATATATATAACTTCGGAAGGAAATACCATGATATAAACATGATATTATTGTATCTCGTAAAAATATTTATTAAATCTACTATAATCATCACTTTTGGAAGTTACTATAACGTGAGTGGTGAAAATGTGAAGAAAACTGTCGTTCATAACATTGTTATTCTGCAACACACAATACATTGGAAGCTCTAGTTAGCTTTGGGTTAAACAAAAAAATTCAATGAGGACGGTATTAAATAGTGGATAATCATTCCTTTTCGGGAAATTTAGTACAATTATTATACAGTGACGTGAAAATTTACAAATGCCGTCTTATCAAAATAAACCAGTTGTAAAATTCAGACATTTTGTAGTTTTGAATTTCGTCAATGTGATTGTTGTTTGTACAAAAACAATACGTGGTATCATGTTTGACATTCTTTCTACGTACTCTAGGAAAATATATGTACATCTTAACGTCAGCTAAAACATATGTTGTTTGTACCATATAAACAAACTGTTGATTGTAAACTTGATGGAAATTTTCAGTGTCAATATTTTGGTGACATTTTTCTAGATCTTTACATTTGTAAAGTGGTGTCTTGAATTTTTTAAATCCAACAATTGTCTTTAGGACAATCTAGTTGTGTCAGTAGAAGAAATTTTAATGTACCCACAATACTTTGTGGAACTGAGAAACGTATAAATGAGTTTTTGTTTCGTTCGTTGAAGGTTTGATTATAACATGAAAATTTACTGTGTAACATAGCAAATATAATGCACTTATCTAATACTACATTTAAAGGTATTACACCTTTTTTTTGCTGATGTTGTCCACATGGAACTTACCCTTTTGTCCTCCCTAACTCGCCGCCCATGAATATTGCATATTTAACTTCGTGTGCACTTTAAACAGTTTAATGTAAGCAAAAACGACAAATATTTACGTAAATTTAACAACAAAATGAAAGTCTACGAAATTTGAAAAACGAAAAAATGTAAATCGATTGCAGCTGGTCTCTGGCAAATCTGTTCTGTCATTTTGTTGTCACCGGCTGTCAAACGTCAAAATTTTAACCTCTTATGTTCGGGACGTCATGTAAATACACGTAATAAATGGATTTAATCAAATTCTTCGTACAATATGTTGGTTGTTTTAAAGCAGGAGTTGTTCTTGATCATAGTTTTTACAATAACCTGCACTGCCGGAATTAGAACCTACTCAAAAAATGACTTAATAAAACTAAGGTTAGGAAACCAAAATTTTTCGGTTCATAAGCTTATTTGTGTTATATTTTGCAGAGAAGAAGTGAAGGACATGTTTTACCACGCCTACGACAGCTACTTGAAATATGCATATCCCTATGATGAGTTACGGCCAATCAGCTGTGATGGAATTGATACCTATGGAAGGTAACAGTGCACTGCATTTCAACACATTAATAAAACTTATTATTTTAAAAGCTATTCGTTGACTTTAATTGACGCTCTGGGAACATTAGCAATAATGGGTAACCATTCTGAATTTCAACGAGTTGTGGACATACTAACTGCAAAGCCAGACTTCGATGCAAATATAAATGTTTCTGTTTTTGAAACAAACATCAGAATTGTGGGGGGGCTGCTTAGTGCTCACTTATTGTCTCACAGGTTAGTAGGAAGTTAAAGTGTTAAAAAATAAGAAAAAAAGGTTTTTCCAGAGCAGGTATAAAATTGGAGCCTGGTTGGCCTTGCAATGGACCTTTATTAAGACTGGCGGAAGATGTCGCTAAAAGATTAATCGTCGCTTTTGACACCAAGACTGGCATGCCCTATGGAACAATAAATCTGCGAAATGGAATTCCAAAAGGTGAAACTCCTGTCACATGTACTGCAGGAATTGGGACTTACATTTTGGAATTTGGTACTCTGAGTAGACTAACGGGTGACCCACTATATGAAGAAGTATGAAGCATACAGTTTTTTTGTTAGTTTTTTAATTGGATTATTTTATTAGGTGGCATTAAACGCTATTCACTCTCTTTATAACCACAAATCTCCTCTTGGACTATATGGTAACCACATTGACGTTGAAACTGGCAGGTGGACTTATCAAGATTCTGGTATTGGTTCAGGAATAGACTCATATTTTGAATATTTAGTTAAAGGTTCAATTCTTCTTCAAAGACCAGAGCTACTAGAAATATTTCATGAAGCGCGAAAATCAATTGACACATACCTAAAAAAAGATGATTGGTATATGTGGGTATCTATGACCAAAGGTCAGGTTACAATACCTGTTTTCCAGTCACTTGAGGCCTATTGGCCAGGAGTTTTAAGTTTAATAGGTGACACTACACCAGCTATGAAAACCCTCCACAATTATCATCAAGTCTGGTTACAGTATGGCTTTACACCAGAATTTTATTACATACCTCAGGCAGAAGCAGGAACTAATAGAGAAAGCTATCCCCTACGGCCAGAGTTAATAGAATCCATTATGTACCTATATAGGGCAACACAAGACCCATTTTTGCTTCAAGCAGGTGAAGATATTTTAAGAAGTATTCAACACAGCGCAAAAACTCCTTGTGGCTATGCAACCATTAAAGACGTCAGAGATCATAGAAAAGAAGATAGAATGGAATCGTTCTTTCTCTCTGAAACCACAAAATACCTCTATCTTCTTTTTGATACAGAAAATTTTATTCACAATCAAGGGCAACATGGCACTGTTATTAACACACCTAATGGTGAATGTATAATAGAAGCTGGTGGCTATGTTTTCAACACAGAAGCCCATCCTATAGACCCGGCAGCGTTGCATTGCTGCTACAATATTCCAAAATTGAATGTGTTCAATTTTTCTGACTTTGAGACAAAGAAAAATATTTTTAGAGGGGATAGCATTGGTGAAAGAAAATTTTCATTGAACGAAAATAATTGCAGTGAACCTGAGGAAGAAAATATTGTTGTAAATAAGACTGAAGATATTACTGTTGATGAAATAACAACTGAATCAAGTAATAGTTACGTAAAACTAGAAGACAACGATAATATTAGTCAGAAAATAAATTCCGAAACAATCGAGGGTAATGTAACGCTACTCACAGACGCTGAAAATAAGTCGCAACCTGTTAGGAAAACGACTACAGGCAAGAAAAAATTTGACGTCCAAGTAATGCTTGAACGCCTCCGTAAAGAGGGTAAGCATTGGAGAAACGAAACCTCAGAGAATAACTACAAGTTACTTAGCTGCAAAGCGCAGCCATTTTTGCAAAGATTGTCAATACTCGGAGAATTTTTTAAATACTTCTAAAATTGTTATTTTAATTATGTTAATAAGTAAATTAATAACAATTGTTAAAATAAATTAATAACAGAAACAAGGCTAAACTATCAATTATAAAAATCTACTTTCTCAAATCAGTAGTGCTTCCTGGAAGAGAACACTTTTCTATTTCACTTTTAATCGCCGCTATTAGAGGCACTGCTGGATCGTTGGCTTTAAATTTCCCTTCAGCTAGAACATGCTCAACGTTAATCATCGGTTTTGTTCTTATGTCTGCGCTTAAGGGACGAATTAGAGGTGAGGGAGCTGTGCTGGCCCACGCTCCTTTGGGTTTGGTGTTGTTGGGCGACTGCAGAACTCGTCTAGGGTCGGTGGTTTTTGGTCTAGGACGGATTGTCGGTTGAATTTCATCACTTGGTCTTTAATACAACGCAATTAATAAAAAAATTAGGTTAAGTTAGTGGTTGTAGACACCTGTTACTAATGGCGGAATGGCTTTTAACTTCTATAGGTGGTGGTTTGGAATTATCAACGGGGCTTTCGCGCCTGCTACCAAATAAACTAAACGTGTCGTCAAGAAGGTCGTGGAAGCGTTTTCGCATTCTTGATACGTTTGAAGCTACTTTTAAGTCGTCGATACCTTCGTCGACACTCACACCTGCGAAAAAAAATCAGTGAATGGGGTTTTAGATCTTTTTTTACATATTGGAAGAGTCATTGGCAAATTCGTTGTTTGTTCAGTAACAGACTGACTTAAATTTTTACTCACTCAAGTATATTTATTTTGTGATTAAATAATTTTTAGCGTTGTGGATTATGGATTTATGTAATGCTATAAAGACAGAGCTAATAGAGTGTAATCTATCGTATTTTCCCACCTAGAACGGTTACCCCTTACATGTGACAGAGTAGCTTGAATTATTTCCTTAGTACTGTTTTAAATTTGACCTTGTTTTTGATGCGTGTGCTTGTAGTTGGTGATAATTAAACTGTCATTCTATAGGAATGTTGCTTTCCTGACATAATTAGTAGGTGGTGGGTTTTTGAAATGTGGACAGAAAAATATAAATATTCAAAGTTGCCAGAATTTATTGTGGACTTTCTGCCTGTGTTGGATAAATGGTGGTTTGCTTTTTTACAAACTCTGCCATTTAAATTAACTAGCTGTTACTTCTGGAAAGTTACGCTTGTCTGCTTCGTTGGTTTATGTAATTTTCGTTGCAATTTACAGAGTGTTTTGTAAAATTTAACTAAAATTTACTAACGCAAAAATTTTGAGGTGATGTCATCGCATTGTTCGTGGGAGTGATTAGGCAAATTTTGGTTAGCGTTTTACCGTCCACGCCAAATTCCTATTTGTCTAATAAAATCGACATAGACAAACAAAAAAGGGTAGATCTATTTTTTCGTAGTCTGGTGTCATGAAACAGTCGAGAAAACATGGAAGTAGCTATTCGTCCGCTGGACCTTACTACTCACTTCTTTAGCTTACGCTCGGGAAGTAAAAAAACGTAATAGATGTGATAGTATTTGTTATGTAACAAGGTTATAATTTATCAAAAATGCAATGCATATTTGTAGTAGCTATAAATTTGTGTTAGTTAAAACACACCTGGATATACAAAGTAATCTGTCCGATAGTTCGAAGAATATATTTTCAATAAAACTTCTAACAGACAAAAAAGACACGAAAGCGGGAAACGTTAAGAAAGTTTAAATAAAATTAGGGATTTGTCAAAACGACTATTACAGTAGTTTGCTTGACCATCACTTACGAAACCGGAAACGACAAACTGTTGGTTTTCAATTATATCATACTTATGAATCTTATGATTGCGCATCGTAAACCTCAAAAGCACAATCACCTTAAAAATTGTCTCAAAGTCTCCTTTTAACACATTATACACACTTTAAACATTAAAGTTGTACATGTTTGGAGAGTTTTATGACACATACCATGTTGTAACCTTTGGCAATGCATATTCCAAACCACTGGCCCAATCACACCAGGATCTTCAACAGTCCCTATACTTCCATGTCTAGCTAAAGCATATCTCGAATTCCCGTAGTGAGCATCATTATCAGCATCATCCGGCATGTCCAAATGAAGTACACTTACAGGTTCCAGAACTTTATTTAGTGGTTCTGGCATGCTTCCCCTAGAAACATCTATCACTACTTTTCCAAAAAAATGAGCAAATGTTACCTGGGGAAGGCTTTAACGGACGGCATCGACAAATACGACTTTGGGCTGACCACCCCTGGATCATAATTTTCAGCAAAAATAGTATCAGGAGAATCTCTTTTGCTGCTATTACTATCAGAATCTAAGATTTCAGGCGCTATTCTCTTAAGATTGACCGCTGCTTTGGGTCGTGGCGGCTTCTTCGGCGGCGTTCGTTGTTTTTTCAACCCCATTAGCGGCGATATATCTAGACTGGTAGAACTGTAAACAAAAAAACTCATTTTATGTATTGCTCTAAATAATGTAGTTTTTTCTTCGACCTCAATGACATAATCGATCGACTAACCTGGATGAAGTGGAACTAATAGAACTCTGCGGTCTATTCCCGGAAATGCCACTACGTATGGTTTGATTTGAGGGTTGATTTCTAAAATTAATATAAGTAGGAGATTGATCCTTCTGTTCGGATTGTTTTTCGTGATGAACAAAAGCGCGATTGTCTTCACCCTGAACACTTCGTTCGAAGATCTGCCTCCTGTTGTCGATTCCTGTCGACGAAGGGCTTTTTTTGCGTTTAGTCAAAGCGAGAGTTAAAAATGCCACCACGAGAAGAATCGCTAACAAAACCATAATTGAAACGCCAATAAAAATCCACGTGTTTTTGGCCTTTGATAAGCTTTGCGTCGTCGGTGGTTTAAGGTATGCTGAAATAGAGATAATTTTTTAAAACGCTATCACCAAAATTCACTGTTTACGTTCGGCTTTTATCAAAAAGGGGTATCCCAGTTCGCTACGAACTTCGTCATCGGAGATTAACGTCATGTCTTCGGCCGCTGTAACAGCATCTACGGGTTTTCCTGAAACGGATACGTGATAAAGAACAGCGATTTTTTCGTCTCCGTTTAGTTTGGTTTTCTCCACATTGTGAATGTACACTTTAACTGGTTTCTCTGGCATTTTTTTAATGTCGGTTTCTCTTTTGCTTCTGTTTGTTATGCCTAAATGTCTTTCTTGTTGCCTTTGGAAAGCGGTTTTGTACAATTTAGCTAGACTATTCTTGAGATCAATAATCACAGGGTCTTTGCCATCACTTTTCAATACTGTTAGTAGCCAGAATTGACGATCAGCGTCGAAAAAATCGTCATCGGTGCTTGATTCGTCGGGGTAGAGGGTCGGAGTAGGTACTATTTCTTCAGTGGTTAACGAAGGTGCTTCACAGTTGAATGAACACTTGGTGGTACTTTCGATCGACGTGTTGCGCGCCGTCGATGGTGTTTCCACGTATACAGTCGAAAGAATAGTTTTGGTCTTGTATATTGTAGCGGACTTTTCTGTGGTCCAAGGATAGTCGCCTTCGACATCCGTAGATCCATCACCTGATCCAGTCCAGAAAAAATCTTCAAACCGGTAGGATTTTTGTTGTTGATAGTCGCTGTCTAGCAGTAGCAACTCTGTAACGAAAGAAGGATAGCGTAGAAGACAAGGAAGTGTTGTCGTTGGATATAGACTTAACAACACTTCAATCAATGTCTTGACGGTGCAGAGATTGTGGTGCCAAGCACGGGTCTCCCCGAGATGCCCGAACTACCTACTGTTTTAAACTGTTCCACATTGCTTTAATGTGATAATCGAATGTCACGGGAAGAGTAACCTCGAACGCTCATGTCTCATTTAAATATGAATGAGTATCTACTACCAAAAAAATTACGTCTGATTTTAAACATCCAAAACAAACAAACCGTTGTCATTGACCCCAATTAATATTCTTTTGCATTCTACTACAAACCTCTGCACCACTTCGTGCTGCAACTCTTAATTCGGTCTATAGGTAACTTAGCACAGGTGCAAACACCTATCAATCACCAGACATGCAAGTGTGCATCACGACATACAGACAATTATTTTTCTTTCATTGTGCTATAACGCCATTTGTTCCAAAACGAACAAAGGTCCACCGGAAGTGCATATCAAAAACAAAAATAATCACCTGTTCCATAAGCACGTGACGCAAACGTATGGTCGACCTCCACCGCTCGGAACTTTTCTTCTGTTTTGGAAAATGCAGTCGCTGCTAGAACCACAAGACTAGCCAGCCATATCATACCGATCCCGAATTTGTAGAGATGGCTCGGGTTCGGTGGCCCCGGAAGGCACTCCACTCTATCACCTGCACGACTCTACCCTTATTGTTGATGAGGATAACTCTCATGGTTCACCTGTGTTACAGAACACATTGATCAAACGTGGATATGAGTGGCGCAGGCGTGCGGTTGGTATTGTGTTTGGGTCTGGTATTGTCATGTAAACCGAGGAGGACAATAATAACATTAGATTACGCACAATGGATAGGTACTATTATGGTTGGAAATGATGTGTTTGTTAAGGTTTTCAATAAACTGGAGGCAGGTCTAAAAAATATTAGATTTCGATTAGGGTTTATAAAATATGCATGGCTGCATTCTGCATTTTATTGCTAGGATCAATACGGTGACAGTGACAATGATTCATCAAACTTTTATTATTTGATGGGTGTTAGTGGTTGTTAATGACTTTAGCACGCATCACAATTTAATTATGTTATTTTGTTATGTTTCTAACACCTAGTGCGCAATAAGTGTGTGGTCACTGAGTTATATTGAGTGTCAATACTGAATTTAAACAAGAATTTAAATGAGGACAGTTTTATCGGCTTAAGTATTTGTATGGAAGATCTGCATAGATTGGATATTCCAATTTGAAAAAAAAGTTTTATAATATGTATTTTCCAAATATAAATTACCCGTTATTAAGTTGTTGAATGTTTTTCATTTATTTTTTGTCCTTGCGACAGAATCAAAAGTAATTAAACTATTTATAAACTTGATGTTACATAAGATCCTTATGTTGAATAACTATTGTTATTTTTAGTGTAATAAAGTTCATCTAATCCAACGAATTGTTAATTTCGTGTTTTATTGATGTTTCATAGCTCCTAGGATAGGGAAAAAATGTCTTCCTTGTCGATCTAACTCTCGCCTATTGTCGATTTTATAAGATAGACAAAACTGCTACTGGACAAACTGTTGTGACGTTTTAGATTAGATAGAAAATTTTACTAAGTAAATCCTCATTAAAATATGCAAGATAATCTATTTCTGTACTTGTCATTTCTTAATTCACCTCTACTTTTTAAGCGAATAAAAAAAATTCGTAGTAGCACAACAAAATTTTACTATTTAACTTAGAATTCAAGAAATTGGTTACTCTGAAATTTTCTACACGCGCTTTGAGGTTATTATGAACATGGTAAATCGCTTATAATTAGAATTCAACTGTTCATCCCTTCCAATAACTTGTTGACGTCATTAGAAAATGTTAACAAGTAAAATTCGTTTGAAATTTATAATGCGAAGAAATGTCTTTATTCATGGTTCAATATCGTATTACTACTTTTTACAGATTAAATTTTTACCTAATTTTTCCGGAGTTGGGTCACTGTGAAATTTTATTTAGCTATTTTTTATTGAAAAGATGCCATATGGGATATATTAGTCAACAGTGTTGAAAATCATGTTTCGAAATTTATAATGGAGATATTGGTTTTTAAAGATGAGTAATGAAAAATTTAACTAAAATTAAAAGAAAATGATGAGTTGATGACAAAGTATCTTTGTGTTATATAAAACAAACTGTGATGGGTTAGATATTTTTAAAATTTCATAACAATAAATTGGTTAGTAATGAAGATTTAATCAAAATGAAAAAAAAAAAATTGATTTTGAAACTGGAAAACGAATACCTTGAAATTTTGTAAACATGTTATTGTTGTCGTAACCATAATGAAACTGTGATTAAAATTTATACGTATTCCCGCTCCCAAAAAAATTGATGACGTCGTCTCAAAATTTTCCTGAATAAATCATATCTAAAATAATACGCAAAAGATTATAACTCTTTACTTGTGGTTTATTAGCGGATTCATAGTTTTAAATATTACTTATACAGGATGACACAAAACAATTAATGAATTAGGAAATAGATTTTTTTATCAAATCAAGAACGACTTACTCTATTTTCCCAAAAATGTGTTATATTACACCTACTCAAATTGATATGCATGTCCTTGATAAAATGTTGATGATTTCATCACAAAATTTTGTTATGGATAAACTCACTTGAAACATATGCATAGCATGCTTCTTTATCTGTAGTTTAACACTCCACATATATTTTAATTTTAATTTGTAGTTTCTCATTGAAAAATAAAATTTGCAAAATTACATTTTACGCATCATTACATTCAATAATACATATTTAAAAGAATTTGGCAACGTTTCAATCATCCTTTCTTCCCCCATTTTCCTCCGAAAGTCCGAAAAAACACCTTACATCCAACAATTTTCCTAAATTTATACTAGGAAGTGGACAAACAGAAATGACCTGAACTTGAGACTGATTGTTTTGCGGATATTAGAGATTTTGTGTGTGTCATAGTAGCTAATGAAGTGATGAAATAATGGTGGATATCAGTACCACAATGAAAAACACGGAATCTAAACAGAATTGTATTTTTATTGTGTTACTAAAATAATCATAAAATAATAAAGTGGTCATTTAAAAATACAAATGACACCATAACTTGGACATTCTCAACCAAAAATTATCATTAAAAATGCCGTGAGTAGGATGAGCATTTACGATAGAGAAATAAGTTGTAGTGATGGAAAAACCATCGCAATATCTAGGTAAAATGAGGACTGGATTATTAAAATATTCATGTTACAAATTGTATTTTCTAAGCTTAAACCTTTCAAACAAGAAATTATATTAATTTATTTAAATTTGAAGCATGAACAACATAAATTATGTAGTATTAAACTAATTAAAAATTGTAAAAATTTAGTACCATTACTTTGCTTATTTTGAAAATTTGATGTTGAAGTAGGCGTGACATTATTATTTCTAAATGTTGGAAGAATTTTCTTATGATGTTTCTAGTTTACTGGTAGATAGGATTTTATGATGTATCATAGTCTTCACAGCTTCCTGTCGGCCAGTTCTAGATTTTATTAGTTGGCTTACCACAAAATCTCTATTTGAATGATTACTACTTTTATTGTTATTATCGTTTGTGCTGAGACTTTGGGCCACTTACTACTAGTGTTTTTCACAACCAAAAATAGCATGTTTGTTATAATATTAGGACCTCTTTTTGAGAGTTCGACGCCTCTCCATCAAGTTCATCTGACGCAGTATGATAAAAATTCATTTGTAGGCTCATTAGACTTCCTTTATCCCGTTGTTTCAGGCGCGGATACAGGATTTCGTTCAGGGGGGGGCAATTTTTGTGTGACTTTACCTATCCACCAGAAATTCGTTCTAAACAAAAAAATTTATAAAATTTTAGCTAGTATACTCTTTTTTACATAACATGGGTGACATTTGTTTCTTTTCATTACACGTATAGTGTACAGTAGAACCTCGATAATCCTAATTCCTAATTGGGAAAAAGGTGTGTTCGGATTAACGATTTATTCGGATCAGCAATTTTCCCAAAAATCTGAAAGGAAATTGAATAACAGCTTCATACACAACTGAAAACAAACTTCAAGAAATAAACCTAAGTTTTATTAAACAAAAATTAAAGAATTCTTAAGCAACAATGGGTAATAGATACATTCTAAAAAAATATTACTCCGTGACCATAAACACGCTATCTTTTTAGAATAAACACCCCGGGATCTATACCCTGAAATTTTTCAGAATTTTTACATGAATTTTTCAAAAATGAAATTTTCCAGTATGTATTCGTATTACCTCCATTATACAAATTTCGACCCATTCTCGACGATTTTCGAAATTTAACTAAATATATTTTCTTGTAGATTTTGGACCTCAGAAGTCACTTCTGGCTTCATTTCTTCAATAACTTAAACCATTTTTCCAGTATCGTCCAGTTGAAATATCGCAATTTTTAAAAATTTCGAAAAATTCGAATTTCACAGCGAATTTTCCGAAAATATTGCTCCGTTACCATAAACATGGTATATTTTTGGAATCAGGGTTATATATCTCTGAATTTTTTTAGAATTTTCTCATGCAAATTTCGACCCATTTTCGACGATTTTCGAAATTTAACCAAATACTTTCTCTTGTAGATTTCGGGGCTCCGATAACTTCATCCGTTTCTCCAGAATTAGTTAATTAATTCAGTGCTTTGAAATATCGCAATTTTTAAAAATTTCAAAATATTCCATACAACATATGCAGAAAGATCTTGCGTCATTTTTGGAAGTAGATGCATGTTTTCAAGTTCAGTTCGGATTGCAGAGTTTTTGTTTGGATTAAAGAGGCATCGACTTCAAATAGCCTCTGTTCGGATTACTGGATCTTCAGATAATCGTGGGTTCGTATTATAGAGGTTGTACTGTATTTACAAAATGAAATATGATTTCAAAATTTTGAAATTGGTCGTGTGTGGGGGGGGGGCAATTGCACCCATTGCCGCGCCTGCGTTGTTTACAGATGGTCTGGTCTTATTCATCCCAACGCATACTGTAAAACTTTATTTTTGTTTCTGAGGCTAGCTTTCGGTTTTTTTTAGTGTTTCACGCTTTTTTTCTCAACGAGAAGACAACAAATTAATCGAATTCATTGACTGGACACTTGACTCGCTGACTGAATTGGCTGAATAATAATCGTTCCCGAAGGTGGCCTCTATTTAAAGCCATACTTCCCTTGTAGAAGTTCCGCCGCCGAGGTCTTTCTGGATTGCCCATCGCGACTTCCGCTTCCAGGCTTTTCTCCGGCCGCCATCACTGACAATGAGTCATCATCGCCGTACATACTAGAACCCATAGGCGTCGTTCCGGGCGCCGTATGGGTTTATTTCGTAACAATATTTTCTTGTAACAATGCCATTGTGTTTCATATTACTTTGATTACCTTTTCTTTATAATCTGATTTATCCAACTTACGTATGCTGTTGCCCCAAGCCTTCAAAATTAATGCCAGCTGTTCTGTTGCGGTATCTTTATCTAAATTGTAAATTCCCTTGGATCAAAACCGCACGGATTTTATTCAAATTTCGATTTTAATGTGTTTCCGGAATATTGACTTGTATTTTCACTTTGAGAATTCCTTGCAAAATGACATATTTCCAACTTAAAAAAAATGCAATTGAAACAAGTTTGCTAAAACGTAACAAACCATCGGTAAAGTTAAAAACACCGTTTTTAGATCTAATGGAAGTACAAAAATAGCAAGGCTGGGTAAGCTTATGTTACATATTGATAGCGATTAATTGGTAAATTATTTGCATAGAATGACCCCATTGAGAGCAGAAATGGATTTGTGTGAAAAAGGTTTTTCTCAAAATGTATGTTTTTTTTAGCATGGAATTTTTTCTGTAGTTTATTCAAAATGGTCTCTTGACGCTTGTAGAATTCATTTACAATGATTTATTTACGGAATTTGTGTGTCTAATATCTAGCCAAAAACTACGGAAATTTTCAGACAAAATGCGCACCAGATATCAGCTTTTTTAATTGGGAATACCTGATGATGTTTTTACATTCCAAATATGGTTTTTCCTCGTTTGTTTGCCTGTTTTATTTTGTGGCTTTATTAATTTGCAATTTGAAATTGCATACGAATTTCCTCTGATAAGTGGTAATGTTAACACGCCAATTCTCTGAATCACTGTGTTAATGAGTTTCATTAGGTGTTGCATTTTTCTTGCATTAAACCTTTTCTTCACTTTGGTCAGTGACTAACAGGATTTGTATCCTGGCCAAAGTTAATCAGAAAACAACAAAATACCAACGGTAAATTGCAGAAGTCGGTTGTTCATTCCTTAATGCATCATCACTTTGGACTTGTGCGATTTTTGACCTTAAATGTTCGTACAAATACAACCGAATCATTTATTGTATTTGATAAATTTTGTAGTGGCATTATTTTTATACTATCATACCATTGCACAGATGACACCAAAATAATAAAATATTTACCCAGTGACGAGGTCCGTTATGTACATAAAAATGTTGTTTGAGGAGAGTCCACAAAAATATTTGCACATTAGTGAAGACCAGAGACAGAGTTATTAAACCGTAAAGGATGGAAAACATAAAAAACGTTAACAAAATTAATGTGAACATGATGATAAATAATAAAAGAGAAATAATATAAATAAATAAAGCCGAACATAAAAATCAAATCTGTAAGATATATCTGAAAATTTCTGCCCGAACATAGTTTGTACGAAAGTAATAGTGTTACATTTATGAATAAGCATACCTTTGCGATAAAGCCAAATTAAATGCAAAAATGGCGCCTAGAATATTGTACAGAAATATGATTTTAAGTCAAGTTAAAAAATGACCTTATCGTTTATTTTGGCGGAAATTAAAAGTGGTTGTGTATTTTCTATTAAATCATTGTTGGTAAATATTTAGTTGTAAAATAAATAAACTATTGCTACCTATGAATGTGAAGTTTTCCAAATCACAAGATAATTTTGTTGATAAATCGGTTAGATCACCCACAGTGGGAAAAACTTTTTCCTCGAATTTTCTATAGTAAATCCATTTTCATATGATTGACCATATATGGTGAAAAATAATGCCTCGTTCCACAGAAAAGTTACAGAGGGTAAAAACGAAATTTCACAGAATTCACTTTCATTCAATCCGGATTTTATGGTTTTAGTAGTTATCTGCATAAAAACTAAATGTCACAGGGATTCTTTTTCTTGGTGATTTTTACCAACATCTATCATGATTTGTTCTTTCTCAAATGAATTAAATTTCCACGAAAATTATTTTGGCAACACGTTTCAGAGATAAAGCATATCAATTAGTGGTCAGAACTAGAAATTCTCAAATTCGGTGAAACCACGTAGTCCTGATGAGGCTTTTTGACGTCAACTACATATCCTATGATAAAATGTTAAAGTCAAGTAGTGTCAGTAACCCATATTTTACTTTTCAGTATAACTGCAACATCTCATGACTACCAATGAATTAAGTAATGATGGTAATGTTCTTATATGTATATAAAAACTTAGAATTCACATTGTGCACTTCCTTGTATGACTCTATACCATGTAGAAAAAGCAGTATATGTATATATGGCGTTACATCTGCTGTGAATCATTTTCCAAGAATTTCATAAATATCCACAACTTTTCAGAAATAATATAATAATTAAAAAAGTCGTCACTGCTGCGGGTAAACAACCGCAAAATCTAATTCGTCTATAAATTTAATTTCTCTGCGACAAACTTTTAACAATCTCTGTGTAACCTACGTTCAGTAATCTTAAAATGTAACTTTACTAATTTCGACACTTCCGGTGCATGAGTACCCACGTTTGCTTATTATGACTGATCAAATCCGGAAACGAACATTCGCTGTATCGAATGTGCTACAAATGTGGCGTAAAACGTTATCAACGTACGCGAAATAGGTGAAACCCATGTCTTACCCAATCACCTTCGCAAATCTATTAAAACGAAACTTGCCTTGACCATCAGTTCCAAGCCGACCATCGACAAGTAGAGTCGCACTTCTTTGCGTTAACAATAATTATAATTAGACTCTTCACGCTTGAACTACTACTTAGTGTCAGCAAGAATGTGCGTAAAGTTTATTAGCGTAGTAGTGCTATACTGTTGGCTTCACCTATCGGTAGCTGCCCCTGATGGAAAATACAAAAGTGATGCAGAAAATCTGAACACGGACAAGGCAGATATTGCATTCCCAGATGATCTCGATATAAGAAAATTTCCAAAGCAAAATTTGATGTTCCACCATCACCACCATCATCCCGATTTTCATCATCACCATCACCCCGATTTTCATCCGTTTTATGAGGAATCGGATGAGAGTGAAGAAGAAATATCCGATGAGATGTTCTGGGGACAGGAATCCCGTAATGTTTCGATGCAGGTACCTGTTATTGATATATTTTAGAGTCAGAATAATTGGGTCACGGTGGGCGATGCTCCAGCAGAAGGGAATGAAAGTTTAAGGTGACACGAATTCGTGTGTTGATTTCTTTTACACAGAGACAAATGTTTTTATTCCCTTAGGTGCAACATTTTTTATAAACATTACAAAAACGTTTATTGTATCGACATTGTGTAGAATATTTCTATAATTACACCTGTATGCTATTAACACATTTGGAAATTCCGTTAGTGCATATCATTAGAACTAAATTAATACTTGTGCATTACAAACATATGACGTAAATTGTGGTGTTTAAAAAACAGGCAGAAGTGATCACTGTATCCGACTTACTTTCGTTCTTTTTAACACATGTTAGTTACCTTTATCACTATAACAGTAAATTATGCAACTGTGTGTCTATTTTATATAAGTTTTTTCAAGGGTATTATATATATGTACATATTTTTTGACTTATAACAGATACATTAATTATTTGCTTTAGGCCAGATTGAAGTGAATTTTTAACGTAAAATTCCATTACTTTGTGCTCATTTGATGGGCATGTCACATACAATAAGAGTGCAATATTATTGACATAATCAAAGTAAATAATAATTATTAACTTTAATTAAAATTTGTTTACTCATCCTCAACAAAAATGGCATAATTGTTTTCCATTGCAATTTTCAACTATACGTGTGTTGTACTAAAAAAAAAAAATAAATTTATAGTTATTAAATTTCAATGTTACTCTGAGATGACATTACACAACATAACTTGTTTGAGATTTTGGTGATTAATATTGACCCAAAACTATGGAATGTTAACTAAAATTTACTTCTGCATCCTAACCAGTGTTAATAACGTCATAACACAATTATTAAACATAAGAAAATTTTGTAACATTTTGTTTAAAAGTTGGTAATATTTTTACTAAATTGGTCATAGTTGTTACATGCAACATCAATAACGATAATACCACATGATCGAAAAAAAGTCTTATAGAAGGCCATGATATTTATTTTTAAAAGAATAATGTTGGCATTGCAGCTATTTAACACTTTAAATAATATGGTATCAGTTATTGTGGATTTTCTATAAACCTACTTAAGAGTAAATGAGCTATTTTCTGTCAACGAAAAAGGAGAAAATAAAAGGAAGTGTTATTTATATAAAAACCCATTGTCGGAATGAGGACATGGGGGTCCACTGGGAAATTTACAAGGTGGGGCCCTGTGGTATTGTATACATTCTCAGTTCCTCAGTATATGCTTAACTTTGACTGTTTATGTTTAAACTTCGACCGAATTCGACTTTTAGCATGTTCGGATTTCAAGCATCAGCGGTTAAAAGGAATTGAAATTTGGTGGATTTTGGCGCCTCAACGCAGAGGAAAGTACACAAAACAGTCTTAAAATATCTTTATGATTTCACAGCATTCAGTTTTTGCAATTTCAAAGTTAAAGTGTAAAATATTGTTATACAGTGTTGATTTTTTTTCCCAAAAATCTGGATGCTAAGGGTAAAAAGTCAACACAGGCAGGACTATGTTATTTTATGAAATTTAAAGAACATTTATACGGTAGAATTCTAAGATGACGTCATAATTTTTGGGAAAATCTTAATCGAACAAATTTTGATTAACGATTTATCATCTTTCCTATAACCTTAAAAGGTTTGGAATATTTCAGTACATTCGCTTTTGCAATTTTAAAGTTAAATTGTAAAATAAAATTTTGAATTTTTTACCAAAAACCCCGCTGTCTAAGGGAAAAACTCAACACAGATTTTAAATTACTGATGCACGGAGTATGTAATTCTTTAAAATTTAAGGAACATTTGTTCTGCAAAACGATAAAATAGCGTCATCATTTTTTAGAGGCCATAAACGAAAAAAATTTGATTAACGATTTATCATACTTACGATTATTTTAAAAAGCTTACAAGTTTTCAAAGCATGTCAAAGTTAAATTATTGTAAAATGTTTTGAAATAATTTTTATTTTTTCTCAAAAATCTGGATATCTAGGGTGAAAACTCGACACGGATTCATAAATCACACATGCAGGAATCCTATAAAATTAAATATATATAATACCAAAAAAAAGGGCAAATTAGTAGCAAGTAAAATAGTACGTTTCACCCCACATTTTGATTTTTAACTTGTTATAAGATGCTTTATCATTTTTTTAATAGGCCAATTTTGACGTTGAAGCGGGTTTTTTTATTTTTTTTGTAAAAATCTCAAAGTCAGCGGTTTCTATATGGATGCGCTGGAATCATGGTCAAAATCTTTAGAAATCCACAACTTTTTAAAAAATAACCTTAAAAATGGGGTGAAATGTTAAAAAATACATAAAAAAACTTGACGACAAAAATTGACCTTTTTTATTTCATAAAAAGGCAATTAAAAATTTCAACATCAAAATTCGCCTGCAGGTAAAAAAGTAGCCTAAATAGATGAAAAAAAAATGTGGGGTGAAACGTTCCATTTTACTTCCTACTGATTTCAGTTTAGAAACTGAAAACGTCCGATAATCCAATCCTTAAACCCGAGTCATTCAAACGAGAATTGGATTTGAAATAACAAACAATGCTTTTGGAATCACCAAAACCTATATTTGATAAATATAAATTCAAGAACATTTATTTGGCAAAATTCTAAAACGATGCCATTATTGTTTAGGAGGGTTATAAAAGAAAAAAAAATGATTAACGATTTATCACGGTTACGATACCCTAAAAACGTTTGCAAAATTTCAGAAAGAATAGAAAAATCTGGATCTCTAGGATTAAAATTTAACGGGGGTTCATAAACCACATGTGCAGGAGTATCTTATTTTACAAAATTTACAAATAATACTTACTATTTTAAATTTTGGAGATGACGTCAACAAATTGTTGGTAGGGATGATTAGCCAAATTTTTTTATTAGCGTTTTACCATTTATACGATATTCGTAATCCACATACATATAAAATTTGACAACTGGTTCAGAGCTATTGTTTCATACTGAGTTTACACTGTGAAAAGATGGTCTTATTTATTCGTAATATTTATACTTATATACAGTTTTTTGCGTGTGTTATATGTTTAGGAATATTTATTGCGTTGTAAAAAAAAATGTAAATAATAATTGTATAAAAAAAGAAATAGACTGTTCCCCCAAAAAATAATCCCGACACTGTTTTGAGACCATGTTCTTATAGTCTGTATTGAAGAATTATTTTTTATTAGAAGACTCAATACAGAATTGACGTCGTGATTTGTGCTTTAGTGAATCCTGTTCTTAAATCTTTACTGTATAGGTTTCTGGGTCCTTGTATGTTTTTGGTCCAATATACAGGAACGAAAATGATCATAAAAACTTCCAAACATGTAGTTCTTTTTTCGTTGCTATAGCAAAGAACCGTAGAGATATAAATCTTTGGATTCAAAAAATGAAAAATGTTAGACAAGCGTCTTAACATGTGTTTGGCTGTGAGAAACAACGTCTGAATTTTGATCTTGCATCAGTGGCAAGAGGAAACTGGAAAGATTCAGAATTGATAACACAAGGGAAGAGAGAATATAAGAATTAACAGTGTACGCAGCTTCATATGGCTTATTGTTTTTAAAACTACTTATTTTAAGAAGGTTTAAATAATTTATTATTATTACTGTTACCTGAAGTGAGACCTTCCACCTTAGATTTGCGATATAGATGTAAAAATTGTTAACTACTCTTATCTGTTAAATTAATATCCACTACATGTAAAAAAATGAGGGCATACGACACAACGTGCCATTGATCGCGAAACCATCCAAAACCTCTACGGAAACTTTTGAATAGAAAACCACATTTAAGCTGGAAAACGTAACAAATCCGGTCAGGTTTTTTAAGAAGTCGTACATCTCTGTGGCTTTTGCACAAACATATACTAGATAAGATAATAAGACTTGAATAAAAATAGAACTCTTCTGTAGATTTTTTTAACATTTCTGACGTATGATAAAAAATATACAGCAGAGGAGAGATTTTTGCATCAATTTTTAAAATCGAGACAACGATTCAATGCCCTTTACTAAGCGCGCACGTTTATTTCTTCCTCCATAAAATAGTAAAACCCTAGTGCGTAAAACAAAATGATGTCAGTGACGTGATATATTTTACTACATATTTTATATTATAGGATGTGGTTTTCTTCTACATGAATGGGTTAATAGTATATTAATACCGTTGTCTTTTGACGTCAGTTTTGTTAGGTGTAGTTATTTTAAAAATTCGATCAATGTACATAGATTAGAAAAAAAACAGACCGATATTTTTTGTAATTTTTATTACGACTTTTTTATATACACAGAAATGGAGAACGTCAAAACAGTTTCAAAAACATCCTTGAGCCATGTTTAAAGCTTCCAAGTTTAAGTATTCTCAAAAGTGACTTAATAAACTTTTTATGCTTGAAGTATAGAAAAATGTATTAGGTACTGATTACTTCATAGGAGTATTATATAAGCAAGTGTATGAGCATTATCACAAATAAATAGATAATTACAACACAAAATATATATGTAATCAAACTTACAATATTTTTGTACTGTTACATTAAAATTATTTAATGTTAGATTAATTTTCACCCCTAGGGATGAAAAATCATACTTTTGGTTTTCCTGGGTAACTTTAGCCCTGTAATGCCCAACATTTGAAAAACAACAGTATCTTTCATTTCAAGTTTATTGCTTCCAAAACTATGTAACGAAATAAGGGAAGATTTTATTTTCTCTTATTAATTGTACTCAGGGGATTAGTCATAAGGTGGTTCATAATTTACTAATAAAAATAAAATAAAACAAAAAAGCAGTTGGGGACTTTCTTGTTCTCGGGTTGGTGCTTGACGATTTCTTTGGATTGACGTGTATACACTTTTCGCGCCTTTTCCGCGAAGTTCAACGTGTACATTGTTTGCAGATGTTGTTACAAATTCACTTTATTTAACTCTTGTTAGACAATCGTGACCATTTAACATGTTCTTCGGAAAGGTTAAACATGCGTGCTCGTGGAAAACAATGTGTGGCGGGTAATTTTTACGGACTTATCCCTCATTTAATGCTTATACTTAACCTACAACTGACTTGCAGATTCCATTGGATTATATTCAAGACCTTAATCGGTACAACCTGACCGATTTGCTTTTGAACTTTGTCGAAGGTGAAGCGGACAAGCCATTTGTAACAAACAGTGGAGGCGAAGCAGAGAGGCCATTTATAGCAAGTAAGTTATAAAAATTTTATTAACTTTTATGTAACAAAAATACATTCTGTAAAAAAATAATAACTAAGCTAACTTTTCTGGACATGTCATTTGGCAATATAGTACAAAAGTTTCAGTTTATATTTTATATGTTCTTTGAAACATGATTGTGTAAATATTTCTGAGATTTAAGAACTTAATAACAATCTGCACTTGTTAAGTGCACAGATCCAAATTTAAAAAAAAAAAAAAACAAACACAAAACAAACAAAAGTAACAGAAAATTCATTGCACAACTTAAACTGAGGCTTCTGTGCTGGTGTCACTTCCACAAAATTCTTTATACAAATTTCGGCGACATTTGAGATTCCCTTCATAAATTATTAAATAAATAGTACAGTCTTTAAAGCTACTGGTTGTGTACCCTAAATGCAATTTAATTGGTCGCCTCCATCTAGTTTCCGTCTGTAGTTTTTTAATACTGGGTCTGTGAAACTCAACACTTCCCTCAGCTGTGACATACTTAAGTTGTGTAACTTCGGGAACTTCAGCTTCACTTTCACCTTCTACCACTTCTTTGCCATCTTCCAACCCCAACTTCATTTTCTTGGGTGGTGACATCAGTGGACAGTTATGAACACCATCTCCTTGTCCCATTTCTTTTGTACTGGTTGAAGGCTGGGTTCTCTTAGGAGGAGTAATCAATTTTTTACTACTAGGAGGCACTAGTATCACATTTTCTTCATTGCTATGACAAAAAGATGACACTTTATGCTAGTTTTTTCCAAATATGTAATTACTTACTTTGGCACTTTGACATGATGTGTTTCTTTAAACGCGACATTTTCCGATGGAAATGAATTGGTAATTTGATGTGAAACTTTACACACTTGATCCTTAATGAATAAAGATACTTTTTTATTGTCCTTGATGGTTTTACCAAACCAATCAAGGACTACATTTTCCGATAAATAAAACTTCGCAGTTGTACTGTGATTTTCAACTAAATCTACATAAAAGTCTACTAACTTCTTGGCTGAATCAGAATCTTCTTTTGTGTGTTGCTCCATTTTGAAGCTACCTATAACAATAATGTTTTATTTATTAATGTTTCAGGTCGATTTGGGACTGATGATGATGACCAAATTGAAAAGAGTAAGCATGCAACTTTTGTTTTATTTTGTAGTAACAATGAAATTTATAGGTCCCTCTGTGGAAATGGCCAAAGGGGCAGAATGTATGCCAGAACTGCAAACAGTAAACATTGTATCAACTGATGATCCAACCATTTTGTATATTCCGCAATGTACGCGAATTGAGAGGTGTGGGGGTTGTTGCAAACATGATCTTTTGTCTTGTCAACCAACCAAGATAGACAACGTCCCTTTCAAGGTTGGTAAAACTGTTGAACCAAGTTGTGACTTAACAGCAAAGAAATTAAACTTGTTAATGAGTTGCTAACGTGCTGTTTGTTTTCAAATATCATTTAACACTAAGTGGTACTCAAGTGTATGAGATCACTGAATTCAAATTGAAATTGAGAAATACCCAAATAAGTATCTTTAATTAATCAAACATTATTGGATACCTGTTTGTTTAGTGTTAAAACTGAAGTTAGTATTTGTATAATGAAAATAATTTGTGTTTAAACAGACAGGTATTGTAAATATTTGTTGTTATTGGAATTATGGAAAAACAAGGATATAAACATTGTGTGGAGATCACTTATCATGTAAATTGTAGTTTCATAGTTATCTTTTTAGGTTTACAAAACTCAGTACACAGGAGAGAAGAAACTGAAATTTTTGGGAGCTGAGCTTAAATTAGTTGAGAAACACACCAAATGTAAATGCCAGTGCCGCGTACAAGCAGAGGTATTTGCTAAAGTTCCCACATGTCTTTTCCTAAAACTGTCTTTGTAGAACTGCAGCAAATTTCAAGAGTACCGAGAATCTGAATGTCGTTGTGCATGTAAGAACCATGATGAGAAGAAAAAGTGTCACAAAATGAATGACACAAAATTATGGAATCCTGAACTATGTACATGTCAATGTAGAGAGACTATACAGTGTTCCACTGGATCATACTTTGATCAAAATGACTGCAGATGTTTAGCTTTGCCTTTAAACAGACGAGGAAATTTTCAAAGGAGAAGCTACAGATCTGAACCTTTACCAGTAGTGCCCCTGGATGAAGATTACTAATTTAATGCGGAAACTGCGCATTACAACTCCTAGCAGTAATTAATCCAGATTGAACAAAAAATGTTCTCTAATTGTGATACTCAACTTTTATATTAAAGGGTTTGTTAGTGCAATTTGTAGTGTTTGGCTCGTTTGAATGATATTGTCAATTCAAATGAGGGAAAATTAAAACAGTTTAAGAAAGTTTTGTTTGTTTCCTGTCCTTTTAAAAGTTTAAATGGCTTACCGCAATGTGGTGAAATGGTTCGCACCAGCTTGACAGCTCGTAAACTATCAGTAAACAACTATCTTTGTTAAACAAAACGGCATTTTAATCAATGGTAACTTCACTGGATTGTGTTTTGATGTTTTCGGGAAATGGGTGAAGGTTAATTTTCGAAAAGTCACATCGAGCTAAATTGCGATCGCAAAATGGCGCTGGTAGCGTCTCTAGCGTTTGTGAGGTTATGGTGTAGATGGCGCCAGTTGCCTAGTGTCAAAATGCGCATTTCAAACACATTTCAAATAATGTGTTGTAAATAAGGTTAATTATTATTAGTAGTCACGGTGGTAGAAGTAAGGTGTGGAAACCTCATTCATAACTTTCCTCAAAATCATTGGTAGAAAACACAAATCGCGTGGTTTGGATTATATGTCATTATCTGTCCACACCGCAGCGACGTCTAGAGAGATCAGTTGAAATTAAGTAATAGAAAACTGTATTAAATCTTTGACATTTATGCCAATGTCATTTATTACCCAATCACAAATGTCGAATCATCTACCAATCACACGATTCACACCAAAGACCAACCACAAACCGTAGTGCTGTGATTTATTTTCCCTCCAACGAATCTGTCACTTATTTCATTCATAAATACACGGACAAGTTGAAATGTTAATACATAGATGGACATACTGTGCTGCATACTATTTCGTAGTAAATAAGCCTACTGGGATGCGTGTTTTATTCAACAAATTGGAGCGGCTTGTTTCCACACCTTACTTCTACCACCGTGTTAGTAGTAAAAATATATCACTGATTTTTTATTTTTTTGTTATTTATTTGATGTTGGTTCTACTATTTATGGAACAGATAAGTTTCAATGCGCTTTTTCCGTTTATAAGTGAATTTCACTGGTCTTTACTGTGTTGTTTAGCAAATGTTTGATTTGAATACGAAAATGTAAGTTTCCGCCTGCCAGCTGTCTGCTATATCTAAATATTTTCGTTGTTTTAAAATTAATATTGATTTGAGAATTATATAATTAAATTATGAAACACACCACATTACATGAAAAAATGTTATATGTACATATTAATAAATTTTCATTCAAACAAAGTGAAAGAATTTTCTCCATTCAAAAATGCTGCTATCGTAATAAGTAGTAATTAACGAACGAGTTGGTTAATGAAGGCAACGACTGAGTTTTTTTTAAGTGTTTGTTAACTAGCCATTAATCAAAGTGTTAGTTACAATGTTTTTTCGGTGACTGAAATCTTAAAAAATTTGGAATTAAAGAAATTACTGTGAAGACAGATTGATTCCAATTGGGTTCTCGCCATGGAAAATACAAATGAAATTATGCAACCGAATATACACTTTGTAATTTGTAATGTAATTTCTGTGTTCCTATTTATAGCTCCTAGAAATACGTTTTCTAGGGGCTATATGTGTTCCCTTTCCAACTCCCAAATTGACAGATGATTACAACAAAAATAAAACGATTAATATGTCTAATAAGTGAAATAAGGGAAGAAAGTTCTTTCAATCGCGAACATATTTTTAAGAGAAACAAAATTTTATTAAAAAAAAAAAAACAATTCCAATCAACCCTAACATGAGTTGGGTTTTATTTAATCTTGTAATTGTGGAGTTGTTGAAAGTGCAGCAAGATTTCGAGCACGTTCATGATTATTTGAATTTAAATTCAGGCTTATGTCTGACTCTCTTAGAAATTTGTTATTAAATTTTGCGCTGCAAAACTACTGGAAGAGTTTGGTGTTAACAGAGTTTTTTCAGCGATTTTCATTTTATTTTCTGCGGAGTTTTCAATATAGCCTTCTGCGACAGCTGTTGACTTCCAGCCTCTATTTAGGGGCCAATCGAGATAAATTGCGCCAACTTGCACTGCCTACTAGAGGTGCCGCAACTCCATGGTGCAAATTTCAATGGAAAATTCGAAAAATTGAAATTTTCCATTGAAATTTGCACCATGGAGTTGCGGCACCTCTAGTAGGCAGTGCAAGTTGGCGCAATTTATCTCGAAAAATTGCGCTTGTTTATTCCGTCACCCCTAGCAACCAGCATTTGATACCCAAATTAGCATTATAAAGTTGCGCTGCACCACTGACTTGCGCCACCAACTTGGAATTGACCCCTGAGTCTCTTAATTTATGCGAAATCAGCACCAGCATCGGATAACACTGAAGCCAAAGGCCGGCGTGAACAACGTCCAGTATACAAACGCGGTTACCATAATTTTAAAATCGTTGCTATTTGGGAAGTCATTTTCGAAAATACATATGTTGATTACAATTAACTGTATTTGAATATCTATCGTCTTTGCAAAAAAAAAAACGAACGTGAAGATCGTCTGTGTACTTGTTTTAGGTGACTTAATGACCACAAGAATTTTTGAATTCAAGTCTTGAACATCTCGACATATTTTCCATGTTACGTATAGAGTTCTATATATAAGCTGAAAATAGTGGTGAAGACTAGGTTATGAAATTTCCATAAATAACAGCAATATTGGTTTTTAAAGATCGTGGTGAAAAATTTCAACAAATTGATAAAAAGAAGATGGCGATAAACTGTTTAAAAAACTACTTTTGGGTTATACCGGTTGTCTGGAAAATAGCGGTTTAACTCTCCGCTACGCTCTTAACAATCAACTGGTGAGTCTGGGAAAAACAGTAAAAAAAATCCGTCTCACATTTTGGTGGAGTTATCATGATTTTAAAATTGGTTCTTTTGCTACGTTTAACAACACATTCATTATCACAATAACTAGTAATAAAACTTTTAGTTAATGATTTTCCTTTTCACATTTTAGTGTAATAATTTGATAAAATTCCATTTGACAAGAATGTTTACCTGATATAAAGCGAAGGTACAAATCAGCAAAAATCGAGTAAGCAGCTATGGTAAGCAGTTAAAATTTGTCAAAGTTTTCAAAACCCTGCGTTTAAAATGCTCGCAGTCAATTTTAAGTCCTTGGTGTTTTATTTTGGGATAAATTTTGTTACTGGATGAACCTGAAAAAATATTTTTTAACTTTTAGTGATTTATTTTTTATGAATTTGAAAAAGTCTTGAGTGCCGCAGTGTTTGGGTACCTGTGGTGTATTATTTTAGGAGCCCATGGAGATTTTCTTGGGGGACTTTGGGGTTCTATTTTTGTAAAATTCTGACATGACCTGTTTTTGAATTCATTTTGGGACCCTGTTTTCTTTTGAAAAAGTTGAAACAATGTTGAGGTTCTAGGTATTCCTGTTTGGAAAGAATTTGGCGTCCTCTCTTTTCTTAGAGGGTATCTCATTTGCCTAAATTAGTCTTATCTTAGAAGATACTAGCCCCGCCCACCCACCCTCTCTTTTCTGAGAGTGTATGTCATTTGCCAATCAGTTTTATCTTAGCAAGTTTTACTGATGACTGACGTTTACAAAAAATGATCAAAATTTAAAAACATTACGAGCTTACTCAAGGCAGAAATTTTGAATATCTTTTCTAGTGTTTAATTGGTTATGCTTTAATGGATTTTTCTTTTGTTTATTTTGTTTTTGTTTATAATTTATAAATGTGTTATTAAATGTTTTTTGGTTTATTTATTAATGAAAAATAACAGCTTGTTTTATTAACAATAATGCACAACGATTAATGACAACTGGTGTTATGATTATTGTCCTAAAAAAAATGGTCTAAAAAGTTTACATAGTACTTTTCTCGCTGTCGGAAACGTGACGGCTGCATGCCTGTTATGTTTTTCTCATTACATTTTTGCGGCAGGCCATTTAAAAGAAAATAGGATGATGTCATCAACATTTTTGTAAGGACATGTAAATCAGTTTGGATAGATGTAGTGTGATACTAAAAATAAAAGTACTGTATTCCCAAATTTTCGGGAAAATGAACTGTATATGTGAGAGTCAAACAGAGAAACTACAAACAATACCGATGGTCGTCCAGACTTTTTTATTGCTTCGACTTCCGCTTATTATAAAAAACATTGGATTTTATTTTAATTTTTGATGGTGTAATTCACAATTGGTTGATTATTGTCTAAACGACATTCACGGAACCTAGTCAGCGCAACAAAACAAATGCACGTCTGTAATGTTAAAGTAAATATAAATGTAAATAAGCGTGCTACGCCTATGTTTCAAATGAGTTTTTACTTTATAAAATTTTGTGTCTATCAAATTGGGTTGGTACAATGTAATACTAATAATAACAGAGTTGTATCTCCAAATTTTCAGGAAAATGGAGTGAGCTATTCCTGATTAAATAAATAAAATAAATTCACCCATTCATTAATTTTTTTGAGTCAGCCTGTAAATGCAACTCCAAAAAATTTGAATGGAATGATAAATCACAAGTATAGACTCATAATATGTTCAACATTTTAGATAGGGTTTATTAGTTTTGAGCTGATGTCATCAATTTTCTGGAGGGGATAAGTAAATATATTTTGATTAAAAATTTATCATGCTTATCATAACTGTAAACCATCTGCAAGATTTCAGAGCATTCGGTTTTGCAGATTCCAAATTAAATTGCAAAATGTTTCATAATTTTGACTTTTTTTCAAAAATCTGGACGTTTTGGGTAAAAACTCAACTCGGAGTCATTAACTACATGTGTAAGACTGTGTTATTTTATACAATTTAAAACCCATTTACTATGTACAATTTTGAAGTGACGTCATCACATTATTGGTGGGGATGATTAGAGAAATTTTGGTTAGCGTTTTACGATCTACATGATATTTCTAATATAAATACAAAATTCCACAACAACAGACGGACAGACCGACGGAACCGGGAGACTTATTTCTTCGTCCTCAAGAAGTCATGAAAGGTCGACAAAACTTAAAAGCAGAGAGTCGTCCGATGGATTCGATTACAGTACTTCCTATGCTTACGCCCGGGAAGTAAAAATGTGTCTACAGGTTGTACAATTTTAAAAACTCTGATTTTCTGTAGTGAAAGCCGTTTGCATAAAGTTAAAACTAGGGCTGGATTACCAAAGACAAATTTTGCCAAGAAAGTTTTGTTATATTGACACTTTTGTGCAAGGTCTCATGAGAGACACTTTTACTGCTTATAGTATTCCGAGATGCACTGTTTAACAGTTTTTTGAATGTTTTACGGTTTTGTAGTCGTGGAATTTTACATTTGGCGCTATAATTGTTAATGTTTACATAAATTTTACAAATTTAAAATTGTC